TTGAACGATCCCCGCGGTGTCACAAACCAACGCCGAAGTCGGCACGACACGAACCCGACGTAGCGGCTCGCCTCGGCTGTCGTTTTGGGCTCCGCTCGGGGCCCTTGTGCGGCAATGCGGTAGCCACACCGTGCGGCGAGTCGGCCCAGAGATCCAGCGTTGTTTTTGGAAAGAGCAGACGCTGTTTTTTCCCCAGTTCGGCCTCCAGAGGCTCTCGGCGGGCCTCGCGGCAGTCCAAAACCGACGCAGGCTGGGGACCCGGTCCCCAGGAATGGGTCCAGATATGGAGGTCTCTCGGGCTGGGCCTCGCGGAGCCCAGGAGATGGGAGGGCGCAGCGGGAGGTGGGGGAGGAGGCCCCCCCCCTCTCCCGCTCCGCCTCCTCCCTCGACTCCCCCTTCCTGCTGCTCCTTCTGCCCCTCCCCCTCCTCAGGCTCATGCAGGACCAGCACGGCACAGCCGCACCCCACCCCCCCACCCCTGCATTTGCGGCCCCCTCCGGCGATATGACTGCCGTCGGGGCAGGCTGCACGGAGGAGCTGGCGGGGGAGACGACCGCGCCCGCCGATTCCAAGGCCCTCGGCGCCAGGTTCTCGAAGAAGCCCCCGCTCATCCCGGGGAGCAGGATGCGCTCCAGCGCGACGGCGACCACCTACGTGCCGTCGGAGCCCGATGGAGACGACGCTGGGCTCGACGAGCACGAGAGCGGCGACGTCCAAGCAGAGTCTCGCCTCGCCCCGCGGCAGCAGCGTCGGCAATGCCTCCAGCCCCAGTCTATGACGTCAGCGCCGCCATCTACAAACGCGCACATATACAACGCGCGGGTCGCCCCCACCCTGTCGCGCGAGGGCCGGCTCTTGGTCGCGCCCGCGGAGTTGGGCAACAGCGAACTTCATTGCTGTTTGGGATATATGTCTAGACATCTCGGCGGTGCTCCGCGACGGGTGGGCCACGGTGCACGGCGCGAGCGGGGGGGGGCCCAAGCTAGCGTCCGCGCCCGCGACAGCCCAGGCGATCCTGGCCCAGTCTGCGCTGTGGACGCACACTGCCTTCCACGAACACCTGCTCGCGCTACAGGAAGCTGCGCTGCGCTGGATTGACCGCCGCCCTCTCGCCGATCTTGGTGCCGACTTTTCGCTTGGTTTCTGGCCCTCGCCTGCCATCGTGAAGGCGCTCGACCAAGCGGCGTGCGGCCGCGCCCCGCCCCCCTTGCGCGGGTCTTGTGCCTGCCCGGCGCGCAGTGGAGCACCTGTGCGGCATCGGATGCCCTGGCGTTCAACCTCAGCAGATCGCCTGCCTGGTCATCTGTCAGCGCGTGAGCGAGTCGACGCCCCCCCCGTTTCTTTTGCGCCCGCTGTTTGTCGTCCATACTCTCGCATGCGCGCTCCTCGCCCGGCGGTCCAAATCGTGCCCTCATAGACTTGCGCGCTGCCCCGTCGTGAAAATTTCAACGACTATGTCATGGCTTCCCCCCGCGCACGGGCGCATTGGTGCGTTCGGGCGCTCGCTTGCGGTTGGCTAACCCCGATGCGCGTCGCGACGGCCGCTGGCACTCGGCCTTGCAAGTTTTGGCTGCGACTCGGAGATGGGCGACTTCCCGCGCGACCTGGGGCGCCGCGGCTTGCTCGAGGGGCATCTCGATGGCGCTCTCGGGCGGCCGGCCCCCCCCCCATCCATGCTGACCTTATGGCGCGCTGGCCTGCACTGCGGCCTTGCCCCGAGCCAGTCGAGGTCATCATGCTGGCTGCATCGCTCAATCATTGTGTGCGGCGCCGAGATCGCGCATATCCCGCGCACCTCCTCGCCGCTGCCAAGGCTGCGCTGCTGGCAAAAGAATGCGCGGCACCCTCCAGGTCTCGCTCTTCCGCGCGTTCTGCCCGCACCCAAGTTGCCGCTGCCCGCCATCGCGAAGTTTCTCATCACCCTCGCCAGACCATTTACAACGGCTGTTCTGCGTTGCCCCGATTCTCGCGAGGAAAGGCGATGGGGGGTCCAGTCACCTGCCCTGGGAGTCTCTCCCTTATCCATGAGAAGTCGCGACTGCCTTGGAGTAGGCTCTTGTGGCGGGGATCTCGCGACGGGCCTCCGCTGTCGGGCTGCCCCCTGGCTGCCGAACGCACCCTCCGGGTCGCGTTCCTTTGCGGGGGTGCTGGCGGCCTGCGCCGACCGAGCGATCTTCGAGCTGGGCGCCACTGCCCCGCCCAATGGAAGTCGCGGGCCCCCTGGCGCGGGGCCTCGCGGCGAGGCGGGCATTTGTGATGTTGACGTCGAGCGCCCCTCCGCTCACTTGGCCGACGCGTCTGGTGGTTCTGGGCTGCCGAACGCGCTGCAGGCCTCCAGCGACCTTGCCTTCCGCGATGCTCGCTGGGCACAGGGGTTCCCCCCCCCCAATCGTTTTTTTTTGACCCGATATCCAGCCATCGGGCCTCGCAGACCGGATGGAGAGGCGCGTCGACGGCGTCGAGAGCAGCCTGCGGCATGCCGCGCTCGACCCGCTTTTCC